CACGCACCCTCAGAAGTACCTTACCACTCACCCCAAAGGTACCCTGCCACCCACCCCAGAGGTACCCTGCTACCCACCCTCAGAAGAAACCACCCACCCATCTTTAGAAGTATCCTGCCACCCACCCCAGAGGTATCCTATCACCCTCTTTCAGTGGTACCTTGCCTAGTCAACCTCAGTGGCCCCCCTGCCGCCCACACCCTCAGTGGCCCCCCTTCCGCCCACACCCTCGGTGGCGCCCCTGCCGTCCACACTTTTAGTGTAGAGTGCTTGAATCTCCTCCTTAGTTGACCTGCCGGGCAACGTGGGGGCTTTGGCCTCCCACGCCAGTGACCATGGGGGAGAGCCGCCCTCACCCTCACCATCACTGATCAAACTTATTTCCGTGTTGGAATTTTGTCAGGATTGATCATGATTTGAAATAATTATTTTGAAGAAAAATATATGTTTAGTGTTGTGTTGTGTTGTGTCGTCAAGCGGTATCCCCTCCCACAGGTCCCCCTCATGGTCACGGTCTTTGAGCATTAAATCCTGCCAGTAACCCCACCACCCACCCTCACCTTCTCAGTACCATTATAGCCTCGGTCAACCCACAAGCCACCACCTGGATACAATGTCAAGCTCGTCTAAGCTGGCCCATGGCAGGTCGACGGCCCCACACCAGAGACAGACACATCTCTGGTGAAGCACGGAGCCAAGAGCGGAAGGACTCAGTAAACTTCTCCTGACTGACGCTTCCCTCTTTGCTGGACGCTTGTTGCCCGTGCTCGCCTCAACCGCTTGTAGGCCAAGAGGAGGAAGCTTTGATTTTGATTTTGAAGAGAAAGTTAAATCAATCTATCAGAGGTTCTACAGACTTTTGTTTGATTAAATTCATGTCAAAGTATTACAGTTACTAGGTTTTGCCTCCTATGATCTTCACAGCTAACCTCACTATAGTCCTGAGCCATATCCGCTGAATACCTCGCTCTCATACACCGGTCCCTCTCTCTTATAGCTTCACTAAAGGCCTTTCAGGTTTTGACACGGCTCCTAAGACAACTTGATCTCATTAGATTTAAGGTATAAATCATCTCCTTTATAAAACAGTAATGTACTACCACAGTTTCATTATACCTTTTTTCTCTTTTTACTCTTCAGGATTTCACAATGGATTTCTATTTTCGGCAATATTGGAAAGACCCACGATTAGATTTCAGTGCTAATAAAGGTTTGAAAGAAATCCAAGTCAGCACAGACTACACCCAAAAAATTTGGGTGCCCGATACCTTCTTTCCCAATGAAAAGCGAGCATACTACCATACAGCCACCACGAACAATGAGCTCTTACGCATCTCAGCTGAAGGCAATGTGTTGAGGAGTATAAGGTAATTACCAGTGCGTCGTTCTCCCCGTGTGGTGGTGTGCACTCCATGCTCAGGCAGGAGAAGGAAAAGTAACAAGGCCCAGAAACAGCCTCGAGCCCGGCGAGAGGGACGAGGCAAAGGTTCAGTTCTGAGCATTGAAATTAGGGGAACACCGCTACTCCTCTACCTTCTTCCCTTCCGGTTTTTTAGTTTGATGTACCAGTCAGGATCGAGAATCTATGGGGTGCTACAGGCCCCCATCCTCTCCCCTCACACCCCAACAAACCTTGCAGATACTAATACCCCCTTTGTCTCTCTCCTCTCCTCTACTCTGACGGGTCACTAAACACACACGGACGCAGAACAACTTCCGTGTTGTAGCCTCCAGACCCACCTCGTGCCTCTGTCACTATTCCCCTCTTTACTGAATCCCAGAATCTTTCATATACTCGTAAACTGAATCTTGCAAGGGTACATCGATGGAATTTTTCCTGTTTTACCTCTCAGACGTCTGTCCCTCCATGGTAACTGTTGGGCTTCCAAGCCTGCCTAGAACCAGAGCCCGTGGACTTGTCAGCAGCTTCCCGAGGTCTTCTTTAGCCTGTCTGAGTTCTATAGTGTTCCTTCCCGCGCCTTGTTGTGGTGAGCATTAAGTGTGTGGCTGCTCTCGCCTCGCCTGGGTGTTCGTGGCCGGCCAACCGCTCTCTCCCTCGGCCCCGCACAAAACATTGAGTCCTACTGTTAGTAAGCTTCGGTGTGGCACTCACGTCTTCCTGCCCACGTACAATTGCTTTCCTCTTGAGTAACTGTATTTAGCTTGACATGATCAGTCAGTCAGAGCGCTCTTCACCTTTTCCAACTTTCTTCTGAATGAACCAAACCTTCCTCTGTCTCTGTCTCTTTTGGAATAAATGTTGCTTGGCTTTGGTAACCTTCACAGCAGTGCACTCTTCCCTTCCCCCTTTTACTTAGTCCCAAGACCCGTAGACGTTGGTGTGATCCCTCTTTTGTAACCTCCTGTACCCCGCCACCGCCGGGCGGGTCACAACGCGGTACATCCTCTCACACATCAGGTTACCAACATGTGTCGTTTGCCCTAATGCCGCTTCTCTTGCTGTACTGTTGGCCACTACCCAGAAGATGTCGTGTCCCTCGCCCCATGTTATCCCTGGCGACCACCTCTGTGTTGTCCCTCATCTTCCCTGGCCAGTAGAGTGGTGACCTCCCTTGATGTTGTCCCCTGTAGGTGTGTGTACTTGGCCCTGTGTCTGCCTGTTACCGGAAGTACACTCACTCATGTACGTCACTGTATATCCTCCCTGACTCGCGTGTAGTGCTGCAGTGCGTCAATATTCCAGTGAAGCGTGAACCGTGCTGATGAAGTACTTGGCTCACAGGCCGTAATGTCCGTGTCTTTATTATCTCTCCTTTACAAAAGTAATAAAAGTTTTAATCACGTACAGTACATTTGCACAGAGAGTATCACGTACAGTACATTAGCACAGATAAAGTATCACGTACAATACATTGTCACAGAGAAAGTATCACGTACAATACATAATACAAAGAAAGTATCACGTACAGCACATTGTCAAAAGAAAGCATCACGTACAGTACATTGCCATACCCCAGGAAAGTATCACGTACAGTATAATACCACAGAGAAAGCATCACGTACAGTACATTATCATATAGAAAGTATCACGTACAGTACATTGTCACAGAGAAAGTACCACAGAGAAAGTATCACGTACAGTACACTCCCACAGAGAAAGTATCACATGTTCATTTCTTAGTTCTTCTGTTCCTATGATTTGGTTAGAATTATGAAGTTGTTAGGTAGCCACGCGTCCTTCATCTCCAAGAAAGACACTCGAACACCTGATTCTCATTCTCACGTCGAGTTTAAGTCCCAATATCCATTAGAAAGAACGAAATATACCTTGTTTCCTGTAGCAAGGTAGATGCCACGAGTCACCAAGAGCCGTACAATAAGATAGATGTAACCAAGGTTTTTCCTTTTTGCTAGAAAATGTTAAGATGGTGGTGTTTGTAGCCCCATGGTACCTAGTGTGAAGCAGTTGAGGGTGTGTTCATCAATACCTTGAAAGACTAGAAAGAAATGAAGACTTAGAGAAATAATGAATTCACCCCCAAAATACATGGTACATACCCCCATCCGTATTGATGATTCCCTTACAATATACATGCAGTGTTAAATATCCCTAAAGAGTCACTCGAATAACAAGCTCATTTGTAGCATTCAGTCTCTTCTCTCATTCCTTCGTTCAATGAGTCTTATCACCAGAGCAGCTCCTCGGTCTAGAGCAGATCAAAACAGAAAACAAATCTACCTGATTAATGACACACCAACTACTGTTTTAAACTCAGAGAGAAAAACTGTAAAAGGACGAAGACTCTGACTGCTACAAACTCTACCCCATCCATTCAAAGCTTCTTGACCGACAACCATCGCTTTCTGTTTTTCTCTGTACTGAACCTCGCCAAACATCTCAAACTCTCAGTACTAGATAAAAAACGGAGCATTTCCCCCCAAAACTTTTGAGCAACCTTTCTCACCCTGAACCTCTTATATACAAGAGTTGGAGGTCGACCTCAGAACGAAGCGATGTTTCCAGGATGTTGTTACTTTTATCATAATGTTCATATTTTCACATTTTCAGACGGACGTGGCCCCAGCAATCATTCTGGACATGCCACATTTTACCTATACTTCTGTTTGATTGGAATGTCTTTTTTACTCACCGAGGATGGTGGGTTGTATTCCCCCTCACTCTACATCTTGTTTCTCTCTTTATCTCTCTTATTTTCTCTCAAGCCATCTGGTCCTTATCTAGCCATATGTCTGTCTCAATTTCTCTCGAATCCTGCTATCACGACACGCTCAACACACTGTTTTGTGGCAGAATTTCGGGACCATTGAGCACTGAGTTACCTGTTGCTACTGGTTGTGACAAGGAAGAGCGCCATAGCTTTCTTTTTTACACCTCTACAGTTATTGCCATTTAAGAACTTATGTGCATGTTATTCTTGTTTTGCTCTATTTACTTCTCACAAAAAAAAGAATACTTAACCAAATGAGAAATAAAACCATTGCTAATATTTTACAGTCACAGGTTATTGTGTCCAGATAGATTATTTAAATGTAATGTGTAATCTTTTTGTGTGTGTGTGTGTAAGCAAATTATCCTCGTCGCAACTAAGAGCTGATATGGTCCCTGAGATGTGTTTATGTAGCACAGTTCGCCAAGAGTAATTTTCACCGACTCACCACTCTTGTTATTTCAATCTTGAATGTCCAGTCCTTCATCTTGAGAAAGTCTTCCATCCCCTTCTTTCAGTTCTGGATATTCTTCTTTATCTTTCATTCGTCTGTAATCATTCCTCTTCTTGTGCCTCTCACAGTGTGACTGAAGATGCGCGTGGATGTTTGCCTGCATATTACTGACCTGTGTTGACTCATCTCTACTTTCTGACCAACAGTTACCATCCAACTTGCTAAAAAAAAAAGAGAGAGAAAAAAGAAAAAGTAGACAATAAAATCAGGTCATTAACTCAGCTTAAAAACCAAACACCAAACGTTGCTTGTTGAGATGTTCAGCTGACACTTGCTTTTGTTTCTCCGATCTTCAGGACTTTACTCTCGACTTTTATTTTCGTCAACACTGGACCGACCCTCGGCTGTCCTTCCCCGGTCGTGGGGGTTTGGACGAACTCACAGTGGGGTCGGAGTATCTGCAGAAAATTTGGGTTCCTGACACGTTTTTTGCCAATGAGAAGAAGTCCTATTTTCACACGGCCACCACCTCTAATGAGATGCTCAGAATCACCAACCAGGGCAAAGTGTTGCGGAGTATCAGGTAAGACGGTGTGGAGCCAGGGTTACGTAGCTCCACCACCACCACCTCCACCTCATCCACCCACCTCCACGCCCACGGTGAGACGTAGGCGACCATAGATAGAGCGTCCCTGGGGAGCGCGGGGCCTGCAGGTGTAGCTTGTGTCAAGGCAAGACAGAAAGGTCCTCACGTCTCTTGTTGACAGAGACAGGAGACAACAGGGCAGCGTAGTCTATGTAAGCTTAACGTAACACAACTTTTCAACACAATGAGCATTATTTTGTTAGTCCAAGTTGACGCGGTGCTCCCATGGGTTACACAAACACTGTTACATCTAGTTAAACTATTTGGGTGTCTCAGTAGGAGTGACCGAGCAAGAGGGTAGGGCAGTAGACGGTGGCCCTGACAGTTCACAACATCTGATTGCCCGGCTCCCAGGGGCGACCTATTCATCCGTGATAATCAGTAACTTCCTTGTGACGATTACTCTGCTCCCCCTCGTTCATTGACGCGCATCAGTGATAAAACAACACATTCAAGCGAAGCCACATTGAGCTTCATTCACAGTCAAACAACAGCACAAAAAAAATATAAAGCCAACAGTTTGGTTATTTAGTGAGAGGTTGAGTGTGGCGGCAAACATGAACAGAGGGGCTGACGCAACGTAACTAGACTACGTACCTTGGCTCCCCAATTATCAGTGGTATTGTCAGTCGTCGTTGTGGCATTGCACGCTCGACATATTTAACTTCCAGTTTAAACTAAAGAATTTTCTTATTTTTAATTCAATCTGGCGTTTCACCAAAGAAAATAGAACAGGGAGGGGAAGCCCGGCCTCAGTAACACACTTGAGACCTCCACACCTCGAGTCTCATAGATCCGTACGTTAATTCCCTTCAACTGGAGATACGAGGAGGCTTCTGACCGACTCACTTCAACAACATAACAAAATGGCTACCAAAGACTGACATCGAAATTACACTGAAACTTTCCCATAAGTGAGGTGCTTTTTCTCATCTCCCAGTTAGAGTGAAAGAGAAGTTGCGTACGGATCTCTGAGAATCACTTTTTTTTACACCGTTTTCTTTGGTATCGTCTGCGCGGGATGTTGTGCCCAGAATGTTTATATAGTGGTCAGTCTCTCCTCCCTTCTTCAGGTAAAGTATTTACCTACCTTCCTTCTCTCCCAGTATACTTACAAACATCATAATTACGAATGTTACTTATAATATTCACAACCACTGATTAAATAAGTTAACGAGTTGTAAAGTACGTCGTGGGAACACAGAACAGCCCACAGTGTAAGTGTAAACAAGTGTAGCCAGGCTGGGAGGGTGTAGGATCAGGTAGTCTGGTCAAGTGTCAAGGCTGCAAGTAGTCAGTCATTCAGTCAGTCACTTAAACAAGGTAAGATTTTTCCTACATTTTTTTTTTAACTTAGACAGCGCGTACTGGTGGCCTTTATGAGTTGTTTTAATGGTGTTTTTTGTCGTTGTATTTTATTATAGTGATCATCATCTGTTTAATACAACCTCCTCTTGGGTTCCGAGGAGTATTATTTCTTTAAGTGTTTAAGTCGTCCATCCTACAGGTACTGTTTAATTTATTTTTGGTATATTTTCTTCCTCTCAGTGTGTGTTTGTTTTAGCCCTTTACATTATCCATGTTTAAGATGCCATTCATAAACGTTGTCAATTATCAACTTGGTCTTAAATTTGATCTAATTAAACAAACTCATCTGTGTAAAAAGAAATAATTAATTATCTCGATTTTCTCAACAATAATATAACTAATACCAACTAAAGATGAAACTAAATAGCGAAGTTATTCTCTGCTTTACTTGTCAGTTATAATGTTCTTGTTACTTATTATTAATGTTATTTGTTGTTCCTTGGCTGGCTGCTGTGCCGTGAAGCAACAGCTCCTCCCATCCTCATATCATTATCTTCTTTATTTATATTCCTTCTTTCTAATTGGAGGAAATTCATGATTCTTGCCCTATCCCGTAGTTACGTCATATACCTATGTAGATTACTGGAACCATCATTACAATAACAAAGGAACACTTAAGCCACGGCGTCTTTAAGAGGCCCATGAATATTTGTATTATTTATATAAAAACTTGATTTAACTTCAACATAATCTGGATTGAGAGTTAATGTTAATATAGATGCCATCAGCAGCTGAAACATATGAGACAGCAGCAGTAACGTATTAGACCTCAAGCATGACCTGATCACACGGGTTGGTGATGAGGGATTCCTTTCCTCTACTAACCTAGAGCTGTGTCTCTCTCTCTCTCTCTCACCATCATCTGACGTCCCTTCATCGTCGCTGATGATGGTCTGGTTATCAACGTCTTCATCGCCTGCTCACAGATTAACCATCACCGCCTCCTGCCCCATGAACCTACAGTATTTCCCCATGGATCGACAACTCTGCATCATCGAAATTGAAAGTTGTAAGTAGACAGATTTTAATTCTTTGTGGGGGTTTATTTCCTTTGTTTTCAAGTTTTGTTGTACAGCCAGTGTTGTAGGGTTATTGCCAATGTTGTAGGTGTTGTAGAAAAGCACCGTCACTGCTGTACTGGTTGTAGGAAATGAATGTTTGTAAGTGCAGTCAATTGAGTGAACTTATGTTAGTCCAGTCACTGAATGAATGTTTGCCAGTACAGTTATTGCGTGAACGTTGTCAGTATAGTCAATAGAATGAACGTTTGTAAATCCAGTCAGCTGAGTGAACGTTGCCAGCCCAGTCAGCTGAGTGAAAGGCACCAGTTCCAGCAGTTAAGTGAACGCGGACGATACCAGTCAGTCAAAGTTTTCTCATTTTCTGCATCGCTCTTTTGTGGTCCGCTGAGGCGCCTGACTCCTGGAGTGTTGTAGAGACGGGGTGTGGGGAGGGGGGTAGGGGAGAGGTGGGGTAGGAGAGGGGGATGTGGGGGAGAGGGAGAGGGGGGAGTGGGCTGGAGATCGGTGTGTTGGATTGAGGATAGAAGGCTGTAAGAGAGGGAGTTGTCGGAGAGAGGGCTAAGGGAGATGCGAGTTAGGGGGTGATGGCAGAGTTATTGTGGGAGGGTGGGATAGGGTGAGGGAGAACAGGGAGAGGTGAGGGAGAATACTTATTATAACAAGGGAGAAAGATAAAGAGTGTATGTATGTATGTATGTTACGGTAAAAAAAAAACTTACGATGTATTTGAGAATTAGCCCTTAGTGTATCGAGAAAAGACGAACATTTACGATAGTTTTTCTGCCTTATTTGTAGGGTAGGTTAGGTTAGGTTAGGATCTTCCAGTATCATATATGAGGCAAAATCAACGTAACCCACCTTGAGGTTCTGATCTGAAGTGACAGGAGGCAATGTTTGTGTGTCTGGTGGCGGCCGAGGTAGAGTACTTGCCCACGGCCGACACAACAAGCACCAAGTAAACATTGATTGGATGCCCACAATGTCTCTCCCACTCGTATCGTCCGTGTCCGTGTGTGTCCGTGTGTGTGTGTGTGTGTGTGTGTGTCCGTGTTGGTCTCACCTGATGGTGGTTATTGGGTTTTATATTCAACCTTTTGTGCTGTTTAGTGACGAAGTGAGACGTAAATTTACTCTATTGGATAAGAAGTGTGTGTGTGTGTGTGTGTGTGTGTGTGTGTGTGTGTGTGTGTGTGTGTGTGTGTGTGTGTGTGTGTGTGTGTGTGTGTGTGTGTGTGTGTGTGTGTGTGTGTGTGTGTGTGTGTGTGAAGAGGAGGGAGGGAGGTAGGAAGAGAGAATGGAGGGGAGGTGTGTTTGGAGGGAAGGTGTGTTTGAAGGGAAGGTGTGTTTGAAGGGAAGGTGTGTTTGGAGGGAAGGTGTGTTTGGAGGGAAGGTGTGTTTGGAGAGAAGAGTGTGTTTGGAGGGAAGAGTGTGTTTGGAGGGAAGGTGTGTTTGGAGGAAGGTGTGTTTTGGAGGAAGGTGTGTTTGGAGGGAAAGGTGTGTTTGGAGGGAAGGTGTGTTTGGAGAAAAGGTGTGTTTGGAGAGAGAAAACAAACAAACAATTGCTTTGTCTTTATAGAGGGACGATTGTAAGTGTTGTAGAGAATAAACAATATAAAAAAACGCACACACACACACACACACACACACACACACACACACACACACACACACACACACACGTTGCACACACACACACACACACCACACACACCTCCTCTCTCTCTTCCTCAACATCACATACATGCACTGACACCACCCTCCCTCCTCCTCCCTCCTTTCTTCTGTCTCCTTTATAAACTCCCTCTCTTCCTCTTCTCTTCCACACAAGAAGCGGACCCTCCCCATCTGTAGCCTTTCCCATCCTTTAGTACCTGCCTCTCCCTCCCCCCCCTCCCTCCCCTCTCCTTCTACCCCACACCTCAATCATTCTCCCCTTTATCTCCCTCCCTCCCCTCCTCATTCATCCTACCTCCCCAACTACCCCTCCCCATCATTCATTACCTCTCCTTCTTCGCTTATACCCTTCCTCACCCTTGTTTCCTCTTTCCTCTACCTTCCCACACCCTTCACCCTTCCTCTCTCCTTCCCTCATATTTCCTTATACCCTTACTCTCTCTTACCCCCCCCCCCCCCTCTTATCTTGCCTTCTCCTCTCCACGCACACACACACACACACACACACACATACACACACATACACACATCCCAATAAAGAAAGGTATGGAAAAAAAACGACTTTTGAGCCGCTCCCTGGTAGAGTTTGTTCCAAGATGACTCGCTCTGGTGGACGGCTCTTGGTGTTTGACTTGGTAATATAGTGTTCCGTGGAGCGAGGCAACTCTCTTTCTTTCTATCTTCCTTTCTTTCTTTCTTTCTTTCTTTCTTTCCTTCTTTCCTTCTTTCTTTCTTTCCTTTTTTCTTTCTATCTTTCTTTCTTTCTTTCTTTCTTTCTTTTCTTTCTTTCTTTCCTTCTTTCTTTCTATCTTTCTTTCTTTCTTTCTTTCTTTCTTTCTTTCTTTCTTTCTTTCCTTCTTTCTTTTTTTCCTTCTTTCTTTCTGTCTTATTTTCTTTCTCCAACTCATTAGAAAGGTAGTGGATGAATCTTGCCATAAAGAAAGAAATATGAGGAGGAGAAACATAGTCTCTCCTGAGTACCATAATTTCAACAGTGCAAATGAGTGGTTCCATCAGTGAGTGGTTCCATCAGTGAGTGGTTCCATCAGTGAGTGGTTCTATCAGTGAGTGGTTCCATCAGTGAGTGGTTCCATCAGTGAGTGGTTCCATCAGTGAGTGGTTCCATCAGTGTTTGGTTCCATCGGTGAGTGTTTCCATCAGCAGAGTCGTTCCATCAGCGAGTGGTTCTATCAATGAGTGGTTCTATCAGTGAGTGGTTCCATCAGTGAGTGGTTTCATCAGCGAGTCGTTCCATCAGCGAGTGGTTCTATCAATGAGTGGTTCTATCAGTGAGTGGTTCCATCAGTGAGTGGTTTCATCAGTGTGGTTCCATCAGTGAGTGGTTCTATCAGTGAGTGGTTCCATCAGTGAGTGGTTCCATCAGTGAGTGGTTCCATCAGTGTTTGGTTCCATCAGTGAGTGTTTCCATCAGCGAGTCGTTCCATCAGCGAGTGGTTCTATCAATGAGTGGTTCCATCAACGAGTGGTTATATCAATGAGTGGTTCTATCAATGTCTGGTTCTATCAATGAGTGGTTCCATCAGTGAGTGGTTCTATCAATTAGTGGTTCCATCAGCGAGTGGTTCCATCAGTGAGTGGTTCTATCAATGAGTGGTTCCATCAGCGATTGGTTCTATCAGTGAGTGGTTCTATCAATGACTGGTTCTATCAATGACTGGTTCCATCAGGAAGTGGTTTTACCAATGAATAGTTCCACTAGTGAGTTTTTCCATCAGCGAGTGGTTCTATCAATGAATGGTTCAATCAATGACTGGGTACATCAGTGAGTGGTTCTATCAATGAATGGTTCAATCAATGACTGGGTACATCAGTGAGTGGTTCTATCAATGACTGGTTCCATCAGCGAGTGGTTCTACCAATGACTGGTTCTATCAATGAGTGGTTCTATTAATAACCGGGTTCATCAGTGAGTGGTTCTATCAATGACTGGGCTCCATCAGTGAGTGGATCTCTCAATGACTGGTTCTACCAATGACTGGTTCCATCAATGAGTGGTTCCATCAATGAGTGGTTCTATCAATGACTGGTTCTATCAATGACATCAATGAGTGGTTCCATTAGTGAGTGGTTCCATCAGCGAAAGGTTCTATTTGTGACTGGTTCCATCAATGACGGGTTCTTTCAATGAGTGGTTCCATTTGTGAGTGATTCCATCATTGAGTGGTTCTAATTGTGACTGGTTCTATCAGCGAGTGGTCCCATCAGCGAATGGTTCTACTTGTGAGTAGTTCTATCAGCGAATGGTTCCATCAGCGAATGGTTCCATCAGCGAGTGGTTCCATCAGCGAGTGGTTCCATCAGCTAGTGTTTCCATGGCGCTGTGTCACCTGGTCTAGTTAATTAACGAGAGAGGTGGGCGAGACTCACCTGCCTGTACACACATTAACATGATTAACTCTTGGGAATTTTTTTCTCTGTTTTTTTAGCATATTATCATAAGAGTTTATTAACCACTCTGGGTATTTACAGTTGAATATTAACACCTGAGGGTAATATTTTAACATTTGGGAATAGTTAAGTGTGTGTGTGTGTGTGTGTCCACTGGTGTCCTGTGTGCTTGGGTTATGTGTGTCTGTTAATGCCTGTGTGCGTGGATTACTGTATGTATGTATGTATGTATGTATGTATGTGAGTTAGCTAAGAGTCTATCAATCAACAGGTAATTCAGGTTGACAGCCTCTATTAGCTAGCATACTACATAACTAATTATTCTAATATATTTCGTATTTTATTACAAAACTCTATGGAAATTGCTTAAATGTGGCATACTTATCCTAAATATACTAAGATTATCCTGAAAATGCCTAAATTTGCTCAATTATGCCTGAGTTAGTTGACTAGTTATACAATAACCAATTGGGTATGTTATGCCTTAACTCATTAGATAACTCCTTCAATAGCTATAATTTATGTGTAAGTAAATTAAGTAACACATTGATGCTTGCTTATGTTTAAACTAATTAACATTGATTAGTTTACTTTTGCCTGAACTAAACACTATGTTAATTAGCTAATCTTATGCTGTAAACATTGATGAACACTTTGCGTAGCTGTCCAGGTCGTCTATCCCATAATAAACTAATGCCTTGATTGGGAAGCCTATTCTTCATGTAACCAAGCAACATTTTCTATCAATTAATCTATGTCTTAACCAATACCTGGATTACCTAGCAAATACCTTAACTTATAACACTATGACAAGCTAATTTATGTCTTCATTAACTCTAAGATTAGTTATGTTTAAAGAACCCAGTTGATACTTGCCTTTTATTCACCATCTAATACCTGGATTAATTAAGGTGGATGATAATTATCTTACCTATACCTTTAATTAACTAGTACCTTAATTAACTAACCTCTACCTTAACTAACTAGCTAAAATTATAATTATCTCACCTATTAACACCTGGTTTAGTTAATAAATGCCCTGATGAGCTCACCTTCACCCCACAGTTGGCTACAGTATGGATCACATTCGCTTATCATGGCACGCTGGTGATCGATCCGTGGTCATCGAGTCAGATGTTTCGCTGCCACAGTTTCGAGTTCTCGGGTACAACAGGAAAACCATCATCTCCTCTACATCTACAGGTGAGTCTTTAGTTATTATTTCAGCGATTTTTTTTTTTCTCGTTTTGAGTTGTAGAGATAATCTGTCAAGGGAAAATGTAGAGAATTCTGGAATATGTTAGTTCTGGTTACACGTAAAAATGCTGAAATGTGATAAATCTGACTTTTAAAGCAAGAAGATTTTTTTTTTTAAGTCTGATAGTTGCAGATTTTAAAACAAGGTAAAATATAGAAGTCAGTTATGTGTGTGTTATAGATGGGAAAAATAGTAATCCGACAAGAGTGAATTTCCAAAAGAGCACTATGAGTTAGAATACTATAATGAGCCTTTTCCAATTATATTAATTATATTTATGGCAACTGTCTGAATTAGAAATGCTATCGGTATCACCCATCACCTTCAACACTGGTCCAATTATATTAATCTATATCATTCCCTGACAAAAAATATGAAGAGTAAACCCCAGAGGAAAACCAAAGGGAAACTCATGGGTGTGGGGTTTAATTTTTATTTTTTTTTTGCGGCTCTGCTAATGTAGAGTATCAGAGGATCTATCAATGAACGATAGAGTGGCTGTAGGAGGGAGTGAATGAGCGCCTCTTAGGGCGGAGGAGATGTATTCCCACAAGCAAATGTTTGTGTAATCTGAATAGACTCTAGCCAGAACTCGACGCCATTACACGAAGCAAAAAAAACAAAAATAGTCTTTCAGTTTCCTGTTATTATTGTGTGTGTGGCCATGTGTGTGTGTGTGTGTGTGTGTGTGTGTGTGTGTGTGTGTGTGTGTGTGTGTGTGTGTGTGTGTGTGTGTGTGTGTGTGTGTGCACATGCAGTAAGAGAAGTCTGACACTTTGTTCTGTGTCTCTTTATACTGAATCTCATTTTCTTTTACCCTCAACTCTCTGCACACTATTTCCTTTTTATTTTCTTCCCCAGCAACTCGTTTTCTATACACTTCCCCACCCCCCAGCTCTCTCTCTCTCTCTCTCTCTCTCCCTCTCTCTCCTCTCTCTCTCTCTCTCTCTCTCTCTCTCACTCTCTCTCTCTCTCTTACTGTATCCTCTTTTACTTAAGTCAGTCACTTTGTTTGTTGTTGTTTTATAATGGTGATTGTGTTTTTGTTGTTGTTTATGATGGTGTTGTGTTTGTCGTTGTTGTTTATGATGGTGCGGTTAATGATGTTTTCCCCCGCCTATCAAACAACACATTTTCTACAGATTGTTTACCTAATCCCAATGTCGTTGTCTACATGATCAGAACGACCTATGAAGGAGGGAGGTGATAAATAGTAATAAAAGAGGGAGGAAGAGAAGGTAGGAGAAGAAAAGCATGGGAGAATAAAGGGAGAATGGAGGGAGGAAAGAAGATAAAGGAGTAAAGAGATAGAGGGATGGAGGGAGGAAGAAAGATGAAGAAAGAGAGAGAGAGAGAGGGAAGAGGATGGAGTTAGAGAGGGAGGAAGGAAAAGAAAGGGAGGTGGAGAGAAATAGAGAAGGGTGACGAAAAGAGAGAAATGAGGAAGGGACAAAATTAAAAGCAAAACAATCATAATTTCTAATCTCTCTCTCTCTCTCTCTCTCTCTCTCTCTCTCTCTCTCTCTCTCTCTCTCTCTATTCAATATTCATCATCGTCTCTACAAACACACTCTCCTCAGCCCCATTAAGCCATTAACTAAGAAGTGGTCTCTTTATAATGGTGGGTTCTTAGAGTGTGTGAGAGAGAGAGAGAGAGAGAGAGTGAGAGAGAGAGAGAGAGAGAGGGAATCCCTACCATTACCAACCCTATTAGATGTCCATCAGTAAAGCAGCAAATGGAAAGTAATTACAGGAAATCGCTCCCCATTATTCTAATAGTCTATGAGTTAAGTAACGACAGTACTAATGGGTAACAGAGCCGTAACTATTATCACCACCCATTACCATCACACCATCGTAAGAACAGTTAATGGGTGGTATGACCATTCACCCATTACCACTACACCTTCATCTGGTCATAGTCGTAATAATAGTTAATTGGGTGACATGCCCATTAACCTATTAACATTACACCTGTAACAGCTCAGGTGTGTGGTGCTAATGGCAGCGAACCATATTTAGCCTCATCAGATCAATTAGTCTAATTAGTCAGCTTTAACATAACACAAGGTGAGGGGGGGTGAGGGGGAGGGCGAGTGAGAGGGATGGTGAGGGAGAGGTGAGGGGATGGTGAGGGAGAGGTGAGGGGGAAGGGATGGTGAGGGATAGGTGAGGGGAATGGATGGTGAGGGAGAGGTGAGGAGGGGGAGGTAAGAGATGTATATAATTCAGGTATATTCATCTTACCTTGTTTATAAATTTCTCGCCTTTGTTGATAATAATAATAATAATAATAATAATAATAATAATAATAATAATAATAATAATAATAATAATAATAATAATAATAATAAATGACTAACTTGTTGCCCATTTCATAAACCAGTTGTTAGGTAAGGTAGACTCTCTCTCTCTCTCTCTCTCTCTCTCTCTCTCTCTCTCTCTCTCTTGAAACAGGTGTCTAAGTGGTTTCTTTAAATACTCAGCCAAGTAACGAGAGCTAACGTGGGTACTTACTAAGGCTCATTTAGTCGCTCTTTACAAATGTGATACTTAAATTTCACTCAGGGGTCATACAGAAGCCAGAGGTCACACAGGAGTCATGCAGGGGTCATACAGGGGTCATTATGAGAGGTCAGAGGTCATACAAGGGTCACGACGGTGTGTCAGAAATCATACAGGGGTCATGGTGAGGGGTCAAAGGTCATACAGGGGTCATACAGGGGTCAGAGGTCAGACAGGGTCATGGTGAGACGTCAGAGGTCTTACAGGTTCGGTTTGGTTAGGTTAGGTTAGGTTAAGTTAGTGTCTGATGCCATAACTTAAGGAAAAATGAGAAGGGTCGTTAGGCAGATGGTGTTACATAACCTGGCCGGATAATATATAAACACAATAAACACGCGTTACGGGTTACCTTAACGAGACAAATATTAATTCAGTGTTACTAAATCGATATTTGGAGGAAATAACAAAGTGATAAGCCTCTGATGACTGGCATTTTTTGTTCAGGTTATCCTTGGTCAAACTGGCTTATTGTTTAACATTGTTTGTATACCAGCGCCGTCTAAGTATATTGTTTGTATAGCCATATCTGACTAATTCATACTATCGGCACTATTTCCCTATTTAAAGTACCCTATCACCCAATTTCAAGGTCCACATTATCCCCATTTTAAAGGCGATTACCTCAGCTTATCTTTAAGGTCCAATTAGCCTATTTAGCTCTTTAAATTATTCCTGTCTATGGTGAACTATCGTCATGTCAACCATTAACTCCAATTTCGCTCCCAATTTGTACACACTAATTTGTATTCAATCTTATTTTCTCTATCAACTCCTTTTTATCTCCCTCTCCTTCTCCCTCCCCTCTTTCTCCTTCCTCTCCCTCACCTTCTCCTTCTCCCTCACCCATCTTCCCTCCTCACTCCCCCCCCCCCACAATTGTTGCATCACCCATTTTAAAGGAAAAAACACAATTTCACTTTTATGGGTAAATTTCTGTTCCGTTTGCTTTAAGGGCGAGTAATAGTTGATGTACTCAGCCACCATTATAAGTACTCATTACTTTATTCACCCAACTGCTCACTCACTCACTCACTCACTCACTCACTCACTCGCTCACTCACTCACTGAGAGAACTTTTCTACCTGACCGCCTCTCTCTTCTTTTTGTGGAAATGTTAAGTTTACAGAACAACAAAATGTATTGTGTTATCCCTCCCTCTCCCCTCCTCTTCTCCCCTCACTCTCCCCTCTCTCCTCACACCTCCTCTCCCCTCACACACCCTCTCCCCTCTCCTCCCCTCTCCCCTCATCTCCCGTCTTCCTGTTTTTTTTTATCGTCACTAATGAAGTTTAAAGGTTTTATTCCATCACTTAACACAGAATGATGGTAAATCTTTTCTTGGTGTTTAGCGAAAGTTTCCAGCGCTTCTTTCATTTCTTTCAGGATCACCCTCACTTCCTTCATCACCTTCCACACTTCTTTCCTCACCTCCCTCACTTCTTTCCTTACCTCCCTCACTTCTTTCCTCACCCCCCTCACTTCCTTCATCACCTTCCCTGCCCTCCTCCTTCACTTCTTTCCTCACCTCCCTCTTCTTCTCCTCTTCTTCTTTCCTCCACCTCCCTCACTTCTTTCCCCACCTCCCCTCACTTCTTTCCTCCACCTCCCTCCCGTCTTTCCTCCCTCCCTCACTTCTTTCCTCCACCTCCCTCATTAACAACTTCCAGAGTCATTTTCATTTCCCTCTGTTCCTCCTCCTCCTACACACACACACACACACACACACACACACACACACACACACACACACACACACACAGGAGGCAACAAAACATGGGTCGATGTGTGTTTGTAATGAGTGTTTAGTGTAGTCATCATCAACTTTTAACCTCTATATATGCAAATGAGGGGGAGAGGGAGAGAGGGGAAAAAGGAAGAAGGAGGATTGAAGATTGAGGTGAGGTGGGTTGAGTGAGGAAGAAAGGAGAGAGAATAAGGTTGGGTGCTGAAATTTGAAATGTGAAAAGGAAAAGTATAAGGTAACGGATAGATGAAAGGAGAGAGAGAGAGAGAGAGAAGGGGTGAGCTAAATCAGGAAACAGAATCTTCCACCCCTTTCTCTCACAGCCACTTTCTCTAACTTTCACCACACTCACATAATGTAAATATATTATGTATGTATCACTCAATATGTATCACTTAACAAAACCCCCACATAGGAAAGTAATTTAAAACTATGTATCATTTAATATGTTTCTCTTGCTAACAGAAATTTAATGCTTCAAAGAGAACATTTGTCTCTCAGCAGGCTTCGTCATCCAACAAAAACCCTTATAAATTAGAGACTTCTCACCCCCCCCAACATTCTCAGAGATTCAGTGAGAGACATAGACTCACAGGTTGTTAGAGATATCTCACCTCTATGTATCTCACCTCCATATGTCTCACCTTCATGTGTCTCTCTTCCCAACAGGCAACTACTCTCGGCTGCTCTGTGAAATCATGTTCGTAAGGTCCATGGGATACTACCTGATCCAAATCTACATTCCTTCATCACTGATTGTTGTTATCTCATGGGTGTCCTTCTGGCTAAACCGTTCAGGTAAGTTATCCCTGACCAGTGTCTCTATGTCTGTCTTTCTGTTTATCTGTCTCTCTCTCTCTCTCTCTCTCTCTCTCTCTCTCTCTCTCTCTCTCTCTCTCTCTCTCTCTCTCTCTCTCTCTCTCTCTCTCTCTCTCTCTCTCTCTCTCTCTCTCTCTCTCTTAATATCAAATAATCTATAGGTTTTCTGCTAACGTAGGTATAAGGTATTGCTATAATTTCTGAATCTAATCTGTTTATTCCTATATGTCTGTCTGTCTGTCTATCTGTCTGTCTGTCTGTCTGTTTGTCTGTCTGTCTGTCTGCCAGGCTTCTTTATTATAATTCTCATCTTACCTATAATGGCTTTGTTCTCCTATAAGACTTAATTATATCTTCTCACATCTCATATATTAAACTTGATCAAAATACTAAAAAAAAAAAATATCTATATATATATATTGTGAATAGAATGTAATTTTTCCCTCTAAATTCTCTTTTATTCTTTGTAAGTTTATTTCCATCTATGAGAATCTCGATATTTTCTATAAGGCATTTTTTTTATAATGCTCAGGAAAACATTTATATATATACGCTCTCACGGTATTGTTTTAGTGTGAGTATGATTAATAAGGCTTTTTTTTCAATCTCGTTTCTGATGCTGGTAATGTTTTAACTAATCTTTAACTCATAATGCTCCTAGTCTTACCAGGTAAAACAAATGTTCCCAGTCTTCCTTTTAATGCTCCACATCTGATCTATAATGCTCCTAATTTTACTTACATTCATCCAGACCTTTGTATAACTCTCCAAACTTATCCATAATACTCTTAAAATCACCTACAATGCTCCAACCCTTATCTAAACTGCTCTAATCATTCTTATTATGCTCCAAAGCTTATCTCCAATGATCCAAATCTCTATTTCAGTACCTCTAATCGTATCTATTATGCTCCAAATTTTCCCTAATATGCTCCTCCTCTGACACAGTACTTTCATGTTTCTAATAATACTTCACATCATCAGATAAATTATCATAATGCTAATGTATAAGCATCTTGTTTATTTCATATAAAGCTCATACTCATAATCTATAAGACTTTACATTTTATCTATGAGTATAATTTTGCATATAATACTTCTAGATTTGAGTCCGATACTTCCAATCTTACCTGTAATACTTCTAATCTCACCTATAATACTTCCAATCTTCTCTATAATCCTTCAAATCTCACCTATAATACTTCCAATCTTCCTTATAAACTTTCTAATCATAACTATAATACTTTCAACTTTTCCTATAATATTTCCAACCTTCCCTATAATACTTCCCATCTTCCCTATAATACTTCCAATCTTCCCTATAATACTTCCCATCTTCCCTATAATACTTCCCATCTTCCCTATAATACTTCCCATCTTCCCTATAATACTTCCCATCTTCCCTATAATACTTCCAATCTTCCCTATAATACTTCCCATCTTCCCTATAATACTTCCCATCTTCCCTATAATACTTCCCATCTTCCCTATAATACTTCCCATCTTCCCTATAATACTTCCAATCTTCCCTATAATCCATCCAATCTTCCCTATAGTACTCAGCAACTCCATATAATGCTCCATGTCTTTACCTATCTGCCCGGGGTCATCACTCGGGCCCATATGAAGCATAATTAAGGCCTTATAGACCAGTATATTGAGCCACTTGATTCATCTTGCAGTATTTACCTTCTCTAAAACACATTGATAAAGTTTAATTAAAACCCAAAATAATAAGACTCAGAAATACCTCAATGGGTCTATATATTTTGATGAGTATTTTCCATAAAGTGATTATATAAGCGTATACGAGTCAATAGGTTAGGTGTGTTTTGCCTTAGATTACAGACTTGCCACGTGACTGACTGACTGACTGACTGACTGACTGACTAGATGTTATAACGTTGGGATAACTTAAGATCTTTCGAACACAGGTGTTGTTGATATTGGTTAGTAAGGGAATGTTTTATCCGCTCAGTGAAAGAGATAAGTGGAATGACTTTTTGATTTAAGGAGAAAGCTAAACTTTCTAAGGGAGAAAGGCAGATTTTCTATGGGAGAAAGTTAGGTTTTTTATAGCTGGAGGAACAACACAAAATATAAGGAAAATATAACACACAATAATAATAATAGAAAAGGGAAGAAGAAACAATACCAATAACAGAGATAAATAACGTGAGTATTATCGTTGGTAAAAGGAGAATGAATATGACTAAGATGAGGAAATCAGAGGGAGAATTGCAATAGGGTAAATAAAACACTATAATGAGTTTATAACAGTGTTTGTAGCCTGTGTGTGCTATACTGTAAGCTTGATGGACCATTACGGCACGGTACTCGACCACTCTCACTTCCTTAACTATAACGTAAGGTACCCATTCACAGCTGGGTCGACTGAGGGCCCCCTCCCCATTTACCCCCTGATTCAAATCCCAGATATTTAGAAACACAGTGAGTACATTGTTCACTCGTCCACTGCACCTAGATATGGTAACTAACTACGAATTTTACCACATAGAAGATAATCAAATAAATGAGGGAGATAAGATAGACGGATAGAATCAGGAAATACGATAATATATTTATATAATATTTTAGAAGATCTGGCATATCACAGAAGTAAAAACACCTAACATTTGGTTCCAATATTTTACCGCAAAATTTGTATTTTTTTTTTCTCTCTACAAAAGCATCAATAACTTATTTAAGAAACAAAGTATTAATATTAAATTTCTAAGATATTTTCATATATATTTTTTAATTGGTCTATTTTTTGTGGGTTTGAAAAGTTGCGTCTTCATCGGTAGTGAAGGAATTTGTTTTAGCTGGTCTATACACTGTGTCAGCTTAACACCTCTCTGTCACACCTTAGTCATACCTCTCTGTCACACCTCTCTGTCACACCTTAGTCATACCTCTCTGTCATACCTCTCTGTCACACCTCTCTATCACACCTCTCTGTCTTCCTTAGTCATACCTCTCTGTCCACCTCTCTGTCACACCTTAGGTCTCTCTTCTCCTCTGTCACTACCCCTTGAGTGCACTCTGTCACACCTCTGTCACTGCAGTCTTTCCTATCTTTACCTCTCTGTCACACCTCTTTATCACACCTTTGCCACACCTCTATGTCACATCTTTGTCACTGTGTGTCCTCTCCTGTCACCTCTCTCTCACCTCTTTATCACACCTTTGCCACACCTCTATGTCACATCTTTGTCACACCTTTGTCACACCTCTCTATCACACCTGTCTGCTACACCTCTCTGTCACATCTATCCTTCACATCTGTCTGCTACACCTTATCACAACTTTCTGTCCACACCTTTGTACCTCTATGTCACATCTTCTGTGCATTTATGTCACCTTTGTCACACCTCTCTATCCCTACACTTGCATGTCTTTCTCTCTTGCATCCCTCCTTCCATCCTATCTTACTGCACCTTATGCAACTTTTTCTGTCACACCCCTTTGCCACCTCCTATGTCACATCTGCCCCTTTGCCTCTCTATCACACCTGTCTGCTACACCTCTCTCTGTCGTCTTTTTCCTTCATCTGTCTGCCTACACCTTATCACCTCTCTGTCACACCTCTCTGTCACACCTTAGTCACACCTCTCTGCCACACCTCTCTGTCGCATCTCTCTGCCACAGCTCTCACCACCTACCACACCCTCACTACACCCTCATTACACCAATCCTATTCTTCTTCCTTCCTTCCCTCCTTCCTTCCTTCCCTCCATCCCTCCCTCCTTCCTCTCCTCCGTTCCTCCTTCCTTCCATCTATCCCTCCCTCCGCTCCTCCTTCCATCTATCCCTCCTTCCTTTCCTCCATCCTTCCCTCTTCCATCTACCCCCCCTCCCTCCTTTCTTTCCTTCATCTCCCTCCTTCCTTCTCCCTCCTCCTTCCTTCCCTCCATCCCTCCTCCTTCCTTTTCTTTCATTCCTTCCTGTCTATCCCCTCCCTCTGCTCCTCCTTCCATCTGTCCCTCCTTCCTTTCCTCCTTCCTTCCCTCCTTCCATCTACCCCCTCCCTCCCTCCTTCCTTTCCTCCATTCCTCCCTCCTTCCATCTACCCCTTCCCTCCTCCCCTTCCTCTCTCTTCCTCTCTTCCATTACATGTTTCTTCTCTCTCTACCTTATGGCAATTTATTCACGGTATTTTTAAGGTTATTTTTTATTTAGATTTATTCATAAATTACTAAGGTAAGGTGGAGCTCAAGTAGAATAAATTCATCCCTTGTTATTTTGTTATTTGTATTGTTATTTTCTTTGTTTTGTCGTTATTTATCGCCTATGTTGTTTTTGTATGTAATTGAGCTTTTATTTTCTTGATTAATTACATGTTGTTTCTCTTTTTGTTTGTGTGTGTGTGTGTGTGTGTGTGTGTGTGTGTGTGTGTGTGTGTGTGTCAATTGATGTGTGTGCGTGTGTGTGCATTTTTTTCAAATTGCTTTGTCGTTGATAGGTAGTGCTTATGTCTCTCTCTCTCTCTCTCTCTCTCTCTCTCTCTCTCTCTCTCTCTCTCTCTCTCTCTCTCTCTCTCTCTCTCTCCCCTCTCTCTCCTCTCCACCCCTATCACCCTTCCCCACCCACTATCACCCCTTCACCACTATCACCCTTCCCCACCCACTATCACCCTTCCCCACCCACTATCACCCACCCCCAGCAATTGCCACATATGACGTCTCTGATCAGCTGATGTCTAAACCATATTGTGTTGACCAATTTTCTTGTTTTTGTTTCAATAAGTTTCAATTACATCAACGTGTATATATATTATTATTATTATTATTATTATTATTATTATTATTATTATTATTATTATTATTATTATTATTATTATTATTATTATTATTATTATTATTATTATTTTCTTGCATGGTTAGTCAGTCTGTAAGTCTGTGCTTTTGATGAATCTGTTTGTTTATGGTTCCGTGAAGATGGAGGTAAATGCTTATAGCTGTCGTATTGCATTTGCTTTGGAATTATTTAAATGCTGTTGTTGTTTCATCTTTTCATGCGGCTTTGTGTGTTTTTGTTTATGGGTTTATTTGTTTGTTTGTTTTAATTTGTAGAGCCTTTATGTACAAAATACAAGAGTTTAGCCACACTGTATATCCTGGTGTTGTTAGTGTGTATATAATGATAACTTAATTACCACAGTCGTTCGATATGTGTCTGATCTTCTGTTTGTTTCCTTTATGTCCGTGTCTAAATTTCTCCTTTACGATCATGTCGCTTGCTACCACTACTGGGGAACACAGCCCCAGGTACGTAGGTCATCACAGTTTGGAAGGTTGGATTACCACACGTCTTCTCCGGCTGTCCTGACCGACTCACTGTAGACCAGTCTTGTGTTACGCTGTCCACCGTCTTCAGCAAGTCTCTCTCTCTCCCTCACCCCTTCACTCCTCTCTCGTGTGTTTGACACTCTTTCTCGCGTTTGACGCACCCTGGCGCAGATTTACACAGCGCACGTACATACACACACCTGCAAGCGCGTAGACTGATACACCAACGTAGCGCATGCGTATGGATATTCGCAAGCGCTGATATGCGCACTTGTGCCTAAAATCGCGCTAGCTATCGCACGTACAGGAACATAAATGTACATTCGCTATCAAAACACACTAACACGCACACACACACACACACACACACACACACACACACACACATGTGCACATACATCTATACACACACACATACCAACTACAACTTGCTTCAAGGAAAACGCTGGTGTTGCATCACTGTGTCTGCAATAGAACAAGCCTGCAAGATTGTCTCACGCTCAAGGACAATACTCCATGGCTGTACCGGCTTGTCTTGTGGTGTTCTGAGCTTACGACACGGCACAAGCCACCTCCGCCTCATACCCAGCAATTATCTCCACCCACTCAGTCATCTCCCATAACCTCCAAAAACTATGACAATGCGACGGAATTTTAATTAATTTAAATAACTTTTTATATATTTCTAAAAGTTAAAATTTGAAACATATAATGAAAACTTTACGATGATTATAGAATCTTCTCAATACATTATTTTTTTCTCTGTGAAAGTTTTAAAAAAGATAAAAACTGGACATTGTTTTAGTGACTACAGGAGAGCTGGCTTGTGATGACAGGCAGCTCGTCTCACTGGAAGACCTGACACTACAGCCTCTTAGTGTGTAGGATCACCACTGTCTGTCTCGCTACTTATATTGTTAACCTCAAAGAAAAAAAAAAAAGCTTCCCAAGGTTCCTAAGTTCAATCTTGCCATCGCACTTAAACTGACTTGAACAAGGGGGTAAATCTCGTCAAATTAAACGTTACACAGTCAAAATAAACACAGTTAAAGTTAATATACAGTCAGAATAGTTTTAACATCTCTAGTTACGAGGGGATATAATTGAACCTGTGAACCTTTGAGTGTTTTCGGACTTCAGTGATGGGTTGTGGCTGAAGGTTGTGGGTTCCTACATTTTTTATCCTACTTGAGCCTCTTCTTCCTCTTCCTCCTCCTCGTCTTCCTCTTCTTCCTCCTCCTCCTCTTCTTCCTCCTCCTCTTCTTCCTTCCTCCATCCTCCTCCTCCTCTTCCTCTTCTCCTCTCCTCCTCCTCTTCTTCCTCTTCCTTCCTCTTCCTCCTCCTCCTTCTTCCTCCTCCTCATCTCTTCCTCCTCCTCTCCTCCTCTTCCTCTTCCTTCTATCTTTCTCCTTTTCCTCTCTATTTTCTCTGCCTCTTAGTCTTTAGTGTCTCCATCCCTGTTTTATTAATTTCCTCTTCTTTCTCCTTCCATGTCTCCATTTCTCATTCGTCTCTTCCTTGATCTCTTTTTCTTCATTTTTCGTTTTCCTTTTCATCTTCTTCCTCTCCCCTCCGTTCCTTCCCTCTCCTTCTCCTCCTCCTCATACCCTCCTCTTTCTCATCTTTCTTCTTCTTCACTTGTTAGCTGCTCTTCCTTCTCTTCCTTCTCTTTCTCCTTCTTGTCTTCCTCATCTTCCTCCAGTTATCAGTTTCCTCCTCCTCCTCCTCCTCCTTCACACCATCATCGCCTCTTCCTCCTTCCCCTCCTCACTCCTACCTTTGCCACATACGCTCGCTACTCCCCAACATACATACATACATACATACATACATACATACATACATACATACATACATACATACATACATACAGTTTCACTTTCATCTCGTTCCCCCAATCGTAATTCACGTCATGAGGTGGATAAATAAACCACAAAGATATAAACGAATAATCAAGGGAATAGATAAATAAACCGAAAATTGCGTAAATAAGTGAATCAGAGAATAAACAAATAAATTAATGACGAATGGGCTTGGGATATGTGTGTGTGTGTGTGTGTGTGTGTGTGTGTGTGTGTGTGTGCGTGTGTGCGTGCATAATAACAGACACCATATAAAAGAACGCTCTTCATTGAGGCATATTTTCTACTTGAATTAAATGATTAGTACATTACTCACTCAAACAGACACACACAGATGCATAATTTCCTCCACACAAAGAAAATCAGGGAAAAAAAATCTCTTCCCCCTTCACTAATTTAACGGGAATTTTCACATTCTCTCTCTTCCAATTTTTTTAACGCAAATTTAATATTTTATGGAGATTGGCAATCATCAGGACTCTCTTTCGTCTTAGTTTGCCGGAGATAAGGAGGAGAGGCGGCTGAATTTCAATGGAACACCTTCAGTCAAGTTTCTAAAATAGGTTTACAAAGATGGAGAGTTTGGTAGGCTGCCTCACGGGTGTTCTGGCATTTAAAGTAGGTCCTGTGAGTGACCTACCTTGACCTTCTGCCCTAAAACAGGTCAATATACACAGGACGACCTACCTTAGCCATCTCCCCTAAAACAGGTCAATATACCAATTTCTAGGTCCTTTGAGTGACCTACCTTGACCTTTTTCCCCAAAACAGGTCAATACACCATTTCCAGGTCCTGTGAATGACCTACCTTGGCCCTCTTAACACAGGTCAATATACCACTTACTAGGTCCTGTGAATGACCTACCTTGGCCCTCTCTTAACAAGGTCAATATACCACTTTCTAGGTCCTGTGAATGACCTACCTTGACCCTCTGCCCTAAAACAGGTCAATAACACTTCCCAGCTTCTCGGTAACAGATTGCCTCACTTGCCAAACCACAGATAGAAATTTTATACACAATTAATTCAGAAATAAAACCTTAATTAATTTCGGGGTTGAAGAAGTTCTTGTTTACTTCACGTATTAACATCTTTCTTAATCGGGTCATGAACACACCTGGTTACATTAAAACAACAACAAGTTACCTAGGTGTCATTAACCAGTAGAAGGTAATTACATAACAAAAGGTTAATCAGGAAAGAGTCATCACGAAATGTACAGGCTGTTGTTAACTATCAGTGTAAGAGGGTCGTTAACGAGGAGTAATTGGAGCCGCGATGGTCATTAGCGACGTCATGGGAGTAATGCCTCGCTGGAGACAACTTAACAAAGCTCTTTAAAGTTGTGTTTCTTTTTGTTACTTTTTCTTTAACATAAACTTTTAAATTTATTAATAAAAACGTAATTTAGGTTCAACTTTTTATTTAATTATATTATTATTATTAATATTTTTTTTAAAAGACTCAACAGCATTTAACTCTTGGTGTGTTTGTGTGCCTGTTTGGTCTTGTGTTTTATTGTTTGTTTGTTTGTATTTTGTTTTGTTGAGTTTGTTTCTGCCTTCGTTTTTTCCTGTGTCTTTGTTTTTCTGTTTGTTTGTTGTGCTTTTTGCTGTTACATTTGTTTGCGTTTTTTATTATTGTTATTATTTGTACGATAGATCATATATCGTTTCCTCCTTACCTCCCCTTCACTCCCTCTCCCTCTCTTTTTCTCCTTCTCTCCCTCACTCATTCGCTTCCTCTTCACCCCCCTCATTCCCTCTCTTTCCCTCCTTCTCTCCCTCACTTCTTCCCTTTCACTCCCCCTTTTTCTCCCTCTTTCACTCCACTCACTTTCTTCCTTCTTCCGCTTCACTATCTTCCTTTATTCCTACCTCCTTCCTTCCCTCCCTCCCTCCTTCCTTCCCTCCCTCCCTCCTTCCTCCCTCCCTCCCTCCGTCCCTCCTCCTCCCCTGCCCACTCCTCTCATATCACCACCTTGGGTCCATAACTGTGACCTACAATGTAATTACAGGTGTGTGTGTGTGTGTGTGTGTGTGTGTTCATATGTATGTGTAAGAGGGTGTGTGTGTGTGTGTGTGTGTTAGTGTATGTATGTGTGCGTGGTGATCTGTGATTGCTCGCCTTGCAATCCCGTGCTCCCGGGTTCGATCCCCGGGCAGGGTGAAACTATGGGCAAGTTTCTTTACGCCATTTGCCTCTGTCTACCCAGCAGTAATTGGGAACCTGAATGTTAATCGATTTACGGATCGTATTCTGGGGTAATGGTTAGCCAGTGCAGTTGACGAGTTGTCCGATCTTCTCGGGCTATTCCGTGACACTGGGTCATGCAGCTCGTTAACTCAGGGTGTGGTTGTTGTGTTGGTGACAGCTTTTACACCCTTGGGCCGGCCATCCTCGTGTGTATGCATTCATGTATTATCGTTCGAGTACATATTCCTCCTTACCATGAGTTCAACAGCTGTATTAAACAAAACTCAAAGTAAACATTATTCATTCATTTACTTCATTCAGTCTTTTTTTCACTTGTGTTTTCCGATTCTTCATTCGTCATTGTTATTCCTTTCTCTGCTTATTCTGGATTCGTATCATCTCTTCGAGGCACCTGTTATTGGGGGGTGGTGGGTGAGGGGAGGTAGGAGGGGAAGGAGGGGGAGGGGAGGGGAGGTATATTGAGATAGAGTCACTAACATATACTTTCGCCATGTTTGTTTCTCTTCATTCAATGAGTAAATCTCCTTCTTTCATTTTTATTTCTTGGGGTCGATTTTTTTTTTTTCACCCCCCCTTAGATAGTTGGATATCTGTAATTTCCCCAGATATTCCCTTTATTGTAATTTTTCCCTATATATTATTTTTTGGGGGCGTTTTTTCCCCTATTGATTCATTCGTATATATGTATTTTTCTGTATTATCTTTCTCTCTACTTTTTCCTGACTGTGAAAAATCGACTTTATCTCTCGACTCTCTTAACACTTTATCTATACTTTCAACAAACTTTTCTGTACTTAAAATATCCTAAAAACACACTCACTGACAGTTCATTCCGTTACTTAAAATACCTTAAACCCTTTATTACGAGGCCAACTCCCTTAAATATGACAACTTAAAATCCTAAATACGAACACTTAATCCCTTAAGAATGATGACTTTACCTCTTAAGTATGAATCATTAACTCCTTGATGATGATGATGATGATGATGATGGTGACCTCTTTCCTTCAGCATGATGACCTTTTACTCAAGGGGATAAGTCATAGTACTCAAAGGGTGAAGTTGTCTATCTCACTCAGGAGGTTAACTTATCGTACTCAAGGAGTTAATTATACTCTTTGACCAAACATTTATTACCTAAAATGTTTTAAGTGTTTATATTTTTCACTTCTAAACAACTGCAAGCTGCTGCCTAAAATATAAGTGACTGGGTTTTGTTAGTTCTATTGTTACTTAAAATATATATTAGGTAGATTATTCCTTTAAAAAAATAGTACCCTGAAATTTTTAGTAGTACTTTCCTGTAACCTAATTTTACTTAAATTATTTTTATGTAGTCTTACTTTTACCTAAAATGTATTTTAAGTAGTGTCTTACCTGAGATATACTTTTACATGACTTTAAATAATACTAATAATGCCTTAAATATTCTTTGTGGTGAGACTAGAATGCCAAAAGGTTCTACAGGTATTTCCTCACACAGACTTACTATTGAAACACAAATCTTAATTATTCTCTCTTTCTCTCCACTATTCATTCAATTAATCTTATTAATATTACCTTTTTATGCATTATCTTTACACATAGGTGTTTTGTGTGTGTGTGTGTGTGTGTGTGTGTGTGTGTGTGTGTGTGTGTGTGTGTGTGTGTGTGTGTGTGTGTGTGTGTGTGTCCTCAACAAACCACGTCTCTGTGTGTCTTTTCTTCAATATTCTGTCTGACGGAAAAATACATCCCCTTACTGTATATAGTTTTATCCCTCTACGGTATCAGAGTATGGGGCAGTGTGGATACAACATACTGCTTACTAAGAATTCGGTACACCAGGGGGCAGCATGGTACTCGACCGCCTTCACTTCCCCAACAGTTATATAGATTAGAGTTCCCTCGGGTGCAGACCAGTAATCCTCAGGATAAGCTACCAAAGCTATATCAACTCGGCTGCTGCACCTCTAATGGCAGCTATAATGATCTTGATAATTTTTATGTTGGAAAGAATAAGAATCATCGGAGTGGGATTCGAAGCCGTGTTGTAAGGTGTTAGCCTCGACGTCTCATAGCTTGGGTCTACTGAGTCCTTCGGGTGTCGCCAGAGTGAGCCTCATGCCAGTGTGAGTTAGAATAAGACTCACACGAACATGAACCCAACACGGAGCCTATGTCCTTAAAATATAAAATAACTCCCCTTTTTAGGTACCTTTTATAGATATGAACCTAGAGACCTCTTTAATACGTGTTTAAGATGACATTCAGTTAGTTCTAAAGAATCATGAGGTTAGGTTAGGTTAGATTAGGTTAGGTTAGGTTAGGTTAGGTTAGGTTTCAGATCCAGGTAGTTAGAGAGACTCGGTGTTGCCCAGGTGACAGGTGACATCACAGTGTGTTAATGACCACCTACCTGTCTCAACCTTCATTAATCTTTCGTGTCACTCTTGTTCATCAGTGTCTCTCACACCTGGCTGACAGCACTGAGATCTTCTGTTTACTGTCAACCTTTCTCTCCTCTCTCTCCTCTTCCTCTTCTTTACCTTTTTCTTCCTTCTTTTTCTCTCCATTTTCTTCATATTTCTCCTTCTCCTCCTTCAAATTCCCTCTTCTTTCTTATTATTATTTCCTCAAGATCGGTTTTCTCTATATCTTCTTCATTCATTCTTCCTCCTCTCTCTCTCTCTCTCTCTCTCTCTTGTTCTTCGTGTTTCTGTCATCTAATTCCAGTTATTCTAATCTTCATAAAATTCTGTCTTTCTTAATATTAATAATAATAATATAATTTTCTATATACAATTAATATATGTATATAATATATGTAAGTAATGGTAGACTACTATGTGTGTGTGTGTGTGTGTGTGTGTGTGTGTGTGTGTGTTTGTGTGTGTGTGTTGAGGAGAGGATTGTGCGGGTGTGTTTGTTTCCACGACACATATTACACATAATACCTACACCCATTAGATAAAACACCTGAGGATTACTGGCAACTGAGGCACGTGTGTGTGTGTGTGTGTGTGTGTGTGTGTGCGTGCGTGTGTGTGTGTGTGTGTGTGTGTGTGTGTGTGTGTGTTGTTTAGCGAGCAACCCTCCCAACCCACCCCTCCTCCATTCCATCGAGCAGTGTCCTTGTGTGTATGTTTATATACTGACACACACACACACACACACACACACACACACACACACACACACACACACACAGATAATATCAAGCGTCACCTAACAGCGTCAGTTCCGTTTATTAACAGATATATAAACAGGAGGGCGCGAGACACGTTGGGACATGTTTCATTACTCGCCGACAAATACACAAGCCTACACGTGTGACCTACAAGACGAGGTTTACTGAGTCACACAAGCTCCTACGGTGAATAGCTCTTGTACCTGAATATGTCTTTACTTGTTTGACTTAATATGAAACACCAAAATAACCTTCGAAAATAAGTTGAATTTTTAAAAAATCTTTTTACCTTAACTAGATACGTTTACTTAGCATCAGTTAAGAGATCAAGTTAGGGTAAATAATCATAGTTTTATCTATTAACTAACCAGCATTAATATAATTGTGTCGAAATAATTTTGTTTTTATCGTAAATTATCCAGTTATCTTTATCTTACGAGAATTATTAATCTTAGGAAACTTGATGACTCACAACTTGGGTCCTGGACTATATCAGAAACACCTACCTTATATCACCTTATATATCTGGTTATATGAGACTTCTATAGTTACGGTAGAGTCTCAGCACACTTTATACACCATTTTGGATGTGATGGTTGAGTGTGTAGCTTCAGCGAGACTGGGATATGACAAATTACCTCCCCTAATTATAGCTGTTAAGATATATTAAATTGCTTAACTTATTACTCAATATTCATACTTAAAATGGCGTCGAAGTTGCACCAAGACTCTACCGTAAAGATAAGAAAATGATAACAAGGTTCGGATAACTGAGAGTCCAGGTACAGTCGGCCACAGTTCCACCTGGTACAGTGTATGACGCGTTTTGTGAGATGTGGCACCTCTGTGTTTGTTTACATCGTATTAAACCTCCCGGAATGGCACAAAGGAACCTCACACTAGTAGTCAGACTAAGGATAATAATAGATTAGCATTCCACAGTGATGCCACATCTCACAAAACGTGCCAGTCGCTGTACCAGGTATAAGTGCAAGTGACTGTATTGTTTACATTATGACACCGCACTAGTGAACTACTCTACCACTGTTTCTCTCACTAGTCTCAATAACAAACAAAAACTACCACCATAACTCAACAGCAAACAACATCATTAAATAGAATAAACAAGGCTTTTGTATCATGACTAACAAAAAAGCTACCACCTAACTCTGACGCCACAGGACACTTTCCTTTTATAATCACCATAAACCACGACAGAGTTAAGTTAGGTTAGGTTAGGTGGAGCAAACAATGTCTCTTTATCACGAATATCATAACTAAACCCTAACGCCAAAACGTAATCTTTAAATAAGAGAAAACAGAGTTAATTCAGGTTCATGATGTTAATAATATACTGTAACTAGGCCAGGTGTAACTACGGCCACTAATTAAGAGATACCTAATCATACCTAACTACTGCTAATACTACTACTACACTAACTACGTGAGCGAGGACCATTCTGCTACCACCACTATCACCACCGCGATCACCACTCACTACCACTATTTTTATCACCATCACCAACATCACCATTCACTATCATTATTACTACCACCATCACCACCAACACCATCATTCACTATCACTATTACCACCACCATTACCACCACTCACTACCACTATTACCATCACCATCACCAACATCACCATTCACTATCACTATCACCACCACCATTACCACCACTCACTACCACTATTACCATCACCATCACCAACTAGTATCACCAACCAGTATCCCCAGCCAAGCCACTACCACCCTCTAGAGCCAACAAACCGTGAACACTACCACCATCACCACCACACAACCACTACCACCATAATCTTACTAACCATCACAACGTTTATCTAACAATATATTTTTTTCTTTCCTCTCTCCCTCTCTTCCTTGGTGGTATTCACTCACATCTACGACCATGTTAACGCCTATATCTACGCCCAACGCCCACGCCAACGTCTACCTCCTATGGTCAACACCCACATCTACGTCTACACCCCTACAGCGACGCCGGCGCGAGTGTCCCTAGGGGTGACTACAGTGCTCACCATGACTACCCTCATGTCCTCTACTAACGCCGCCCTACCCAAGATTTCTTATGTCAAGTCCATCGACGTCTACCTCGGCACTTGTTTCGTCATGGTGTTCGCCTCGCTACTTGGTAAGTCTTGTTTTATGGCAGGTAAGTCCTATTCAAGTCTAGTAAGTTTCATGAGGAGTCTGATTTAAGTCCAGTTTTAGTAATAAGTCCTATTAAAGTCCATTTTTTTATGACTCCAGTTCACCCTCCTTAAGGATGATGTTTTAAGGTGTGTGGGGCTGTGTAGAGCTGTGTGGGGCTGTGTAGAGCTGTGTGGGGCTGTGTAGAGCTGTGTGGGGCTGTGTAGAGCTGTGTGGGGCTATGTAGAGTTGTATGGGGCTGTGTAGAGCTGTGTGGGGCTGTAGAGCTATGTGGAGCTGTGTAGAGCTGTGTGGGGCTGTGTACAGCTGGGGCTATGTAGAGCTGTGTGGAGCTGTGTGAGAGCTGTGTGGGGCTGTGTGAGCTGTGTGGGGAGGTGTAAAGCTGTGTGTGGGCTGTGTAGAGCTGTGTGGGGGTGTAGGGTGGCTGTGTGGGGGCTGTAGAGCTGTGTGGGGCTATGTAGAGTTGTATGGGGCTGTGTAGAGTTGTGTAGGGCTGTGTGAGCTGTGTGGGGAGGTAGAGCTGTGTGGGGCTATGTAGAGCTGTGTGGGAGGTGTAGACCTGTGTGGGGCTGTGTGAGAAATGTGTGGGCTGTGCAGAGCTGTGGCTGTGTGCTGTGGGGCTGTGCTGTGTGGGGCTGTGTACAGCTGTGTTGGACTGTGTGAGGGATGGGGCTGTGTGCAGCTGTGTGGGGCTGTGTAGAACTGGTGTACAGCTGTGTTGGACTGTGTACAGCTGTGTGGGGCTGTGTAGAACTGAGTGGGGCTGTGTAGAGCTGTGTGGGGGCTGTGTAGGGAAGTGGAAAGGGGAGATATGACCTAGAATGGGAAGGGGAGTAGAGATAATGGGAAGAAGTGGAGAGGTATTAGTGGGAGAGGTGGAGTGGGAGAGGTGAGATGGATAAATGTAGAGAGGATAGCGGAGGGAGAGGAACTGCAATATGAGAGAGAGAGAGAGAGAGAGAGAGAGAGGTATAAGATGGACCAGTGAGTGGGAATGAGTGGTGAGGGGAAAGAGGAGGAAGCTAGAATCCCATTTTCTTTACATAATTGTGAAGGAGTTTATAATCCCCTAAAGGAGGAGACTCTCATTTTCTATACCAATAGGAGAAACTCGTAAGAAAAACAGATTCTAATATTTTTTGCTCCTCTGAATTTCATTTTTTTTTTTGAGCTCCCAAGTCGCGTTAATTGAAGACTAACAAGGGATATTTTCTGTTAAGACACAAGAAATTACTCTGCTGTTGGAAATTGTCTTGGGATTTTGTTTGTCTTTTGTTCAATTCTAAAAATTTGTGGAGGTTTTTCTCACTGCCGAAAATTAACGTTGAAATAATACTCAAACCTGGAGCCGAAATCGAACTCGGAACTTAACCTAATCTAACTAAAACCTAAACCTAATTTACCCAAAACTTTAACTTAAACTAAACCAACCTGAGTTTTTTATCATAAGGGTTTGGATCCAGTTACATATCTCGGTCCAGGAACATTATCGAACTTTCACCCAATTTCATATCTTTTTAATAATTCCAGTTTATTTTGATGTTTATACAGTTTACATAAAGAGGATATAATAGATGTATAGAAGATGTAAACAACTGGAACACAAGAGAAAACAAGGTGAAATTTCGTCCATATTTGTTTTTTGTCATTTTTTTTGGTAATGGAGAAAAAGAGTGGTGGTGGTGGTGATGGTGATAGTGGTGGTGGTGGTGATAGTGGTGTTGGTTATAGTGGTGGTGGTGGTGATGGTGGTGATGGTGGTGGTGGTGGTGGTGATGGTGGTGGTGGTGGTGGCGCCTTCCCCCCTACCATCATACCTTTCTTTTCTCCCTCTCACTTATCTTTCCTCAGTCCCTACCACCCTTTCCTACCTTTCCCAGCCACCCTTCCTCTCTCCCTCCCACCAGTCAGAAGCCACCGCCCTCCCTCCGTCCCTCCATTCCTCCCTCCCACCTTCATACTTTCCTTCCCTCCTTCTATCTCTCTCTCTCTCCCTCAGTCCCTACCACCTACCCTCCCTCTCTGCCACCGTTGTCACACTAACATTCACCCCATAATGCCACACCTCCCTGACACATCTTCAATTGGTGGGGCCGGGAAGTTGAGACGCCCGGGTCGTTAAGGGTGACTTATGCACCTGTTCTCGGGCAGTGATCAACCTTAACGACATCCCCCAAGATCTCTTTACTTTTACAGGAGAATTGGGAGTTTGAGGAGAGTGTTCAAATGGTTTTATTGTCACTGGGAACATGGAGTTTTATGTTCTTGTGTGAAGTGTCTTAGTGCATGTTTGGTTTCCTTGTAGTTGTGAGGTGTGTAGATCCACTGACGTCAAGCTCCGGCCAGTTCTTCCAACCTCTCTCTCCTAATTGCCTCTCAGTGCGTTCCCTCTTCCTCTCACCTTTGTCCTCTCTTCCTCTTGTAAACTCTCACCCACTTTCGCCGTCTCTTAATCCTCTCAGCTTTCATTCCATGTGCCTCTGATCTGTATCTCGTCTTGTTCCTACAGATCCAACTTACCCTCCTTTCAACCACCCAATGGCTCTTCCTCGCTCACTGTCTCCCCTTCTCTCTCTCCTATCTCTCCGTGTCTGTCTCTTCGTCATCTCTCACCCAATCCCTCCCACCTGCCCCCCTCCTCACCCGTGTCTCATCTCCCCTCTACAGAATACGCCGCCGTGGGCTACATGGGGAAAAGAATCCAGATGAGGAAGAATCGTATCCTAGCGATCCAGAAGATGGCGGAGCAGCGGAAGACGGCGACCCTCGACCACTCGCACGCGTCGCAGGACCATCCTGACCACGCCCCCAAGCAGACAGTGAGTACAACGACGAGGCTCAGTTGTTCACGGGCGCTGTGACCACCAGTTTAAGAGGTTAATTAGGTCAGTTAAGAGGATTTACTGGGACCTATATACAGATATTCTAGTAAGTCATATGCTTAGAGGTCCAACTAACAAAGGTGGTCTGGCTACTTATCTAAGAGTGCTATGGCCACTTGTGTAAGGGTGATGTGGCCACTTATCCATGGGTGCTTCGGGCATTTATCCATGAGTGCTGTTACCCACTTATCCAATGGTGCTGTGGCCACTAATCCATGAAGGATGTTACCATTTGAGTGGCCACTTATCCAAGGGTGCTGTGGCCATCGAGTTCAATGATTTAATCCTTGAGTACGATGACAGCACCTCCAGTACCCCCACACCTCCCCCAGGCTCCCCCAGCACCTCCAGTACCCCCACACCTCCCCCAGGCTCACCCAACACCTCCAGTACCCCCACACCTCCCCTAGGCTCCCCCCAACACCTCCAGTCCCCAACACCTCCAGGCTCCCCCCCTCCACACCTCCCCAGGCTCCCCAGCACCCCCAGCACCTCCAGTGCCCCCTCCCCCAGGCTCCCCCAGCTCTCCACAGGCTCCCCAGCACCTCCAGTGCCCCCACCTCCCCAGGCTCCCCCAACACCTCCAGTACCCCCACACCCTCCCCCAGGCTTCCCCAACACCTCCAGTACCCCCACACCTCCCCCAGGCTCCCCAACACCTCCAGTACCTCCACACCTCCCACACAGTACTGGCCTCCTCTCAGTGACCCCGAGAACTTATGAACAACATAGATCTGGAATAGAATACTTGCCAAGCATGGATCCCTCGGCAATATATCAATACTAGGCCTATGAACCTCTTGGATATAACTTAATAGGCTTATTAACCTCTAGGGTATGACTTACTAGGCCTATGAACCTCTAGGATATGTCTTACTATAGGCCTATAACCTCTGGAATATGTCTTAATAGGCCTATAACCTCTGGGGTGTCTTAATAGACCTATAACCTGTGGGCTATGGCTTACTGCAGGCCTATAACCTCTGGGATACGTCCTAATAGGCCTATCAATATCTTGGATATGTCTTACTATAGGTCTATATCCTCTGGATATGACTTAGTAGGCCTATAAGCCTCTGATATATGACTTACTATAGGCCTATAAACCTCTGGAATATATCTTATCATAGGCCTATAATTTCAAGGATAAGACTTACTATAGGCCTATAAACCTCTGGGATATGACTTACTATAGGCCTATAAACCTCTGAAATATAACTTATTAGGCCTATAACCTCTGGGATGTGTCACTAAGCCTATAAACTATGGGATTTGTGTCTTAATAGGCCTACAAACTACGGCATTTGTGTTCTAATAGGCATATAAATCTCTAGGATATATGACCAGCTGAAACTCTAGGCTTATGGGAGAAAATGTTTTAAAATGATTTATATAATTCTTGTCGACCAACTGGATTATATTTTAACCAAGACCTTAGTTATATTTTAATAGTATACGTGTGTGTGTGTGTGTGTGTGTGTGTGTGTGTGTGTGTATGTGTGTGTGTATCATGTGGTCGTAACCTTGAGGACATCTGTGTGTGATTCAGTAGCCAATATTGACATGTTTAGGTTGACAGTAACAGAACGACCCAAAGCACTACGACACAACCCACCTGAAGGTACCACTGTGGCGAAGACGGTGACGAGTTAATGTTGACACAGTAATAAGACGGACATTGGCGTTACCACAGTGGTAGAGAAAGAGGTGGAGGAGAAGGAAGAAGTGAGAGAAAGAGGTGGAGGAGAAGGAAGAAGTGAGAGAAAGAGGTGGAGGAGAAGGAAGAAGTGAGAGAAAGAGGTGGAGGAGAAGGAAGAAGTGAGAGAAAGAGGTGGAGGAGAAGGAAGAAGTGAGAGAAAGGGGAGAGTAGGAGGGAGGAATGTCACAACTTAGACGGCTCTATCTCACTTACAAGTTGCCACTTAATTTTTACTTAAGGAAAGTTTGCTGGAGGTGTATATTGGTGTGTCGTATCCGTCTGTCTCTCTGTCTCTCTGTCTGTCTTTTTCTTCCACATTTTTTCCTCCTACACTGTCCAGAGACCAGAACTATTGCCTCTAAGTTTCATAGTTAAAACACCTTAACAAAATTTTTTAAACATAATTTTGTCTCCTCCTGTCACCTGTGTGTGTGTGTGTGTGTGTGTGTGTGTGTGTGTGTGTGTGTGTGTGTGTGTGTGTGTGTGTGTGTGTGTGTGTTGAAATGAGAGTAAGAGGGAGAAAAATAAGAGAATAAGTGGAGCTTGAGAAGGAGAGAGAGAGGAGAGAGAGAGAGAGAGAGAGAGCAATAAGTGAGCTTGGGGAGGAGAGAGAGAGAGAGAGGGGGGAATAAGTGTGAGCTGAAGAAGGAGGAGAGAGAGAGAGAGAGAGAGAGAGAGAGAGAGAGAGAGAGAGAGAGAGAGAGGGGGGGATAAGAGGAAATTAAAAATGAATGAGAGAGGAAAAGAAGACATAAAGGAGCCAAATATAAGATAAATAACTCCTCACTATAACCTCACACCTCACCCATAACCTCACCACACCCTCACCACAACCTCACACCCACCATAACCCCACTACACCCTCACCATACCCTCACCACCTCACTGTAACCTCACTGTACCTCACCATAACCTCACTACACCTCACCATAACCTCACTACACCTCACCATAACCTCGCTACACCTCACTGTAACCTCACTACACCTCACTACACCTCACTGTAACCTCACTGTACCTCACCATAACCTCACTACACCTCACTGTAAGGCTGTCAGGAGAGGTCACATGAAATATGAACACCCAGGTGAGGTTGACCTTTTCATCTCACCCGACTTCCACTTTTCCAGTTACAGTCACCCACCGAGTCAGTTACAGAGTCTTCCAGTCACCCACCCAGTCAGTTACAGAGTCTTCCAGTCACCCATTCAGTCAGTTACAGTCACCCACCCAGTCAGTTACAGTCACCCACCCAGTCAGTTACAGAGTCTTCCAGTCACCCACCCAGTCAGTTACAGTCACCCACCCAGTCAGTTACAGTCACCCACTCACACAATCACATAACAAGGGAATTAATAACATATAGATCGTGTTATTGATGAAGCACATAAGGAAGGGGGGGTCATAATAACGAGAGGTAATTGGTTAGGGTCAAATTATCCCGCATCAATAACACCGTGATTGCCTGAGCTCGACAAGTCTACCTATCGTAGTTTATATGATCGAATGTGTATATAACAGTGCTCTTAGGCTTTCAATTTATGTATTTTAATCTTAAGTTAAAATTCTATTAGTAGGGAAAATAATTTCTACTAAATACTCTCGATTCTCAAGGGATGTTGAGGGAGTCTGAGTGAATGTGTCTAGTTAAGGTAGATTGTGATGCTGAGTGAATGATTTAAGGTAGATTGTGATGCTGAGTGAATGATTTAAGGTAGATTGTGATGCTGAGTGAATGATTTAAGGTAGATTGTGATGCTGAGTGAATGATTTAAGGTAGATTGTGATGCTGAGTGAATGATTTAAGGTAGATTTTGATACCGAGTGAGCGAATCGAGTTAAGGTAGAATATCAAGTGTATTTTTGATGACATTATTGGACGTTATCTTAGTAGTTTAGCACAAGTCAACCAATCAGATATGCACTTTACATAATTTTGCACCAATCAGATACAACCTTTCAGATACATCCTTTAATAATTTTGCACCTGTCAACCAATCAGATACATCCTTTAATAATTTAGCACCAGTTCAACCAATCAGATACATCCTTTAATAATTTAGCACAAGTCAACCAATCAGATACCTCCTTTAATAATTTTGCACCTGTCAACCAATCAGATACACCGTTACATCTACAGTTAAGAGAAATCTCGAACTTACGGCCCCTTTAAGAATCAGGACCCACCCAGATCTATGTCACAGCTGGTCGGTTTCCTTGCAGGGATGGAGACGAGAATTCTCAGATGCTCTCACGATAAAAAATGATCTTAAGTGGAAATATAACTGGCATATGACTGTCTCACTTACAACTACACACACACAAAAAAAACCTGAAGCTTAGAGTACAGTTTAAGATTTTGTGTGTACTGAAACTGTTGTAGATAGAAGTGGTTTGTTTCGCCTCTTAGTCAGGAAAGAAACAAGACTGATTTACGATCCTTTGAGGGTAAGGTTTGAGACCCCTGCATTCGTTGGCAGTTTATGACAGTGGGAGGATTTATTTTGGCGGTGATGCTGTAGTGAGGATACCAAGGCCTCTCTCTCTCTCTCTCTCTCTCTCTCTCTCTCAGGATAGGGAACACGTTATTGACACCTGGTACACTGTTTCGTCTAAGTTGTTTAGGTTGGAAGATTGAAAATGTCACATTACCACCACTACTACCACCATTACAACAACTATTACCACCACTATCGCTGCCATTACTACCACCTTTACTGCCACCACTAACACCATTACTGCCAATACTACTACTTCCATTACCACTACAACCAACACTATCACCACCACAACCTCTACTAACACTACTACCACTATCACAAGTTGTACCAACACCACCACTACCACCATCACCACCAATACCACCACCATCACAATCACCACCACCACCGCTACTGACACTACCACCGCTACTGACACTACCACCATTACCACTACCTCCATCAGCACCACTACCACAACTACCACCATCACAACCACCATTCAAGGGGAACACCTCACAGAGACACAGAATAGAGAGAGCCGGGTGAAAGCAGTGCTGCCAGATCCCCAACATGACCCCGCTCTAAAATTCTTCTTCCCAGTGTTGCCAATCAGACAACTGTATATCACTACTTACTATACTTGTTTACATTGGTGTATATACCTGTGTATACCTGTATATGTCTGATTGATCAGTAATACCAGTATAGCCCTGGTTTGCTTGAGGTGGCTACACATGCACACACACACATACATAC